TTTGACTCAGGTATTTTTAATGTGTGTGACCTATATGGTTGAAAAGATATACAAGTTAAGCTTTGAATAGAAAAAGTAGTGCATGATTTGGAATTTCCAACAAAGTGTTATGGCCTAATTAGTGAAAGGTAGTCTACTGACTAGTGATTTTGCAATAGTTTTCTAATTCGAGTTTGGGTATCACCCATCTCTAATATTGATAATATCACTTGCATAAAGATTCATGCATAGTTACCATTTATAAACCAAAAGCCAAATTACCATCCATCACCTAGAATAGTCCATATCAACATGATACAGAACTAGCATATCCACCCCAAAATTGTCGTCAACTCCTCTAAGCTAGGTAATCCATAAATTTGAACAAATAATTAATCCTAAACCTAACAAAACAACAAATCACCCTTATATTATAAAGATATAACTTCAAATAAATTCAAACCTAAAGTTTTTTCAACCTAACCTAATACTCCGGTGATAATCCACAATCTACAGCTTCCATGTAAAACCTAATATCTAAGCTCTGATACCAAACTTGTAATGCCCTAAAATCCACCCTAGAAGGCATTACTATCTAAAACATCCAACCATGAGAGCAGCTACAAAAACCATTAAATAATAACCATTCATCCATTTAAGAAAGAATAAATACTAAAACCAATAAAACATTGTAATTTCTCCAACTTATAATTCAAAATCAAATAGTATCTAGCAGCGGAATAATTAAACTAACTAAAACAGTTTCATAGAAATCTCTCAAACACTAAACCAAAAATAAAACAACTATATTCTCTAAGACAGGGTCCACATCTTGATTCTCCAACATCTCCTAATAAACTTGCTCATCCACATTGACATCCACTTCTATGCAAAAATCTATAAGTGTGTTGTAGTGTGTGAGCACTAAGCTCCGTTGAAAAATCCTCTCAAGCTCGAACAAGATTTTGAAAACATATAAAACATATCAGTCTCATTTTACAAAATATCATATATATATATAAATTTTAAAATAAAACAGTGACAGTTCATTAGACCTCAAGTTTATGTTAGCAATAAATTAAATGAAGATGCAAAAACAACTTTCAGACAATGAACCATTACCAACATTGTATATAAGGTATGTAATAAGATTTAACATGAATACACACATTGAGAATATCCTGACCCACACACACACCCCCAATCCTTGTAAGGATACATAACTTTAGGAAGAGTGTATACTGATGCATCAGTAGTGATGAATTCAACCTATAAATAATATACTAGCCCTCAGCCTCGATACCCATGAGCAAATAGTAGTTTGGTCCTCCCAAGGCACCAACCCCAATACGAGTGGTAAGGAACCTTCAAACCCACTTGGAGTAAGAAACACATCTACTCACTATACGATATCGGGTTAATGGTCACCCATGTTCATCAAAGCATCCACACAAGAGATACAATACTAAACCAATTCATCAAATCACAGGTAAACCGAGAGCCATAATTCCATAGGTATTTTTCCAACAGAACAACTCAAGAAAATATTCAAAAGATCATCAAAAAATATAATTTTATTGTTCAAACAAAACATTAGAGTTTTTCAATCAAGAACGATGGAATGTCAAGGTAAAAACTATATTTCTTGAAAACAAGTATTTTGATAACAAGAACGAGAGTTTTTATGGCTATCAAATAATAACCTTATTCAGGACATGATATGACTTGCAAAAAAATCAAGAAACAATGATTTCATAACATATACATATGATTTAGATTCAAAACATACATATATATTAACCCTAACCTCAATGAATAAGTTTAGAAAGAAACCCCTACCTTGATTCTTGAGATCTTGATCGTAACGTGCTTTGTTGTGATTTCCTCATGTTAATCCTTCAGGATTTAGCCCATTCTTCCTCCTTCTATTCTCCTTAAACTATTATAGGTTTCTTGGGGTTGAAAAATAGATAAAGACTCTTTAGATCTCGGCCCTAGGGTATTTATAGGCTGGAAAATAGAGAATTCTCTTGTGGACGCGGGTAGCAGTTTGCCTCTGACTTCAAACTCGATTTTGACATAGTTAGAGGTGATTAATGAAATTTTATTAAAAGCGCACTTTTGTAGCCCTTGAAGTCTAGTTTCTAGTGTAAAAATTTCAGGGCAATTGAACATTAGGGTAAAAATGTATAGCTAAAATACTATGATTATGTCAAATTCCTTTCTACCAAAATCCTATCCAAAATTGGTTTTAAGTCTAGAATTCTTCTAAACTTTTAATACAACTCATATAACCTTTTCCAATGTTTTTCGACCTTTTGAATTTAACGAAAATTTTATTTTGACCTAAAAATATTTATAAAATTACTTAATCACCATTCTCAAACTTAAACATCTCCAAAACTTAATTTACCCCGAAAGTAAATACACATGAAACTCAAGCTTTATAACCAATCTTTCAACAATGATTCTATATTTCTACCATCATCTTATTCATCTTAGGAGAACTCTTAAGATGATATTATCCCTTTTTAATTTTAACATGGGGTCTTACAGATGAGCACTCGGAAAAACTTTTGGCATAGCCTCTAACAAACCCAAGTTAGGATCAGATACAAAAGTAATTATCCGAGTGTTATCCAATATCTTATTTAACTGTTGTAAAAACCAAAAACAATTTGATTAAAATCGTGAAAATCAATAGCAAAAATATGAGAATGTGTAACATAAACTATAACAGTGTATCTACACACTGTTAACAATTCAACAAAGACAGTATAAAATAACCATGAAATTTATAAACGAAATAACAATATGGAATTTTACTTTGGTTGCCACCTGTTGTAGTTGTCAAAAGAAGATTACCTCTATATCTACCTTTCAAAAATGTCCATCCAAAAACAGTAGTGGACGACAATAATTAAACCCCTCAATACAACCCTTAAAAAAATAATCAATCTTTTGAAACGGTTATTCTCATGATCACAATCTAAAACAATATTACTTTCGAATTAGAACGATTCACTGCATTAGCATACCAATGTAGTTGTTGGTACGACAATGAGTGATCCCAAAAAGCATACCTTTTGTTTTCTCAACCTTCTCCCATGCTTTGTCATATGAAATGGTAAGTTCATATTCATAAAAAAAAATCAGCAACCATTTCTGTTGGACGCATTTTGGTATGCCCACGAACATGATCAATAATCAATTCTACAATCAAATTAGAACTCATCCTCTTGTTATCTGTCATTCATAAATCTACACCCCAACTGTGTTTATTCTTTAATTTCCTAAAATAAAAAAAAACCTGTAACATTCTTGATTGTTTCATTGATATATCATCCACAACTAGAAGAACACTAAAATGAACACTCAGCAATAACTCTTGAATTACAATTCTTCAAATAATTAAATTCAAAACCAGCCTCAATCGAGTATTTGCAAAGTGCATTTTGAAACTGTAATACACCACCTTCAAATTTCTGTCCTATATGTTGTATTTCATTAGTCCACCCAGATGTTAGAACTTTTTCATTTTGACTCATAAAATTGGGTAACAAATCTGTCTCAGAATCAATATCATCACCTATGTTCACATTCTGCAAAGAATCGTTATCACCTAATGAACCTCCCTCAACATCTTCCACAAACACCTTAACGCCAATGTAATTTCTTGGGAAACTCCATTTCAATTCAATCACGTGCTTCAAATGTGCGTCGTTGCGCAACATGCAAGTGAGTTGACCAAGTATAGAATATGACAATTGTACCAAAAAAATTAACAAGTGATCCCAAATTTCGCAAACTCCACGAACAAGTTCCGATATATTTGAAATAATAGATATTTTGAATACTAAAGTAGCATTTTTGTATCTATATAAAAGTAACACCGTTTCCTCCATTGCAACACCTTTCAATTATTAAAAATACATATATAATGAGACACAGAATAAAAATATATATACAAAGAGACACATAATAAAAACATATATACAAAGAGACACAAAGACACGGAATAAAAACATGATTTATTTACTACATGAACAATGTAGAAAAACATGACGCAAACGGGAGAAAATATCCTATATGGTGTTCGTATATAAAATATGAACAATGTGGAAAAACACCCAGTAATACAGGTTGCGCTTTGGTGGGTAACAAATTAAAACACATTACGTCTCAAAAGAACAACCATTGTGGTGTTCCTGAATAAGATAAATAACTATGAAAAAAATGGAATAATAAACTTTAAAATGACCGACAAAAACATAATGGTGTCATGAATTCAAACTTGGTAATTGCTGAGATTGAATAATAAGGATGAAGTTAAGTTTCAGCCTTGCACTAATAATGGCTTACCCTTCGAAGAAGAAGAAGACAACCAACAATAATGTTTTAAAATTTAAAATTCAAACTGACTGGAATACAGAGAATAAATGGAAGAATCAATTCTTTCATTAAATTAGGAAATGTTTAATGCAAAAATATAAAATGAAAAAAAAACATTGCTTCCAAAAAAAATCGCATGATTTAAAGGAAGACACAAATGTCAAAGAAAAGTTTGAAAATTTTAAATTGTGTACTTGGACACAATTAAGTTTTAAAACTAAGGACTTAATTACTTAACATAAAGATCTATGGACTTTTTTACAAATAACTCCAATATTTTGTATCCTCTGCCAATTTTCCAATAAATAAACCTTTTATAAAAATACTACTGCAACAAAAAATCTTTTTTTTTTTTTAGATCATTTTTTTGGTGATGGTAAACATAGCTGGCACACATTGTTTTTTCTCAGAAAATCCTAATTTTTGTAGTGTGGGTACACACATACATAATTCGTAAGCATTGTCTATGCTAATAAATGTGCCCTTGTTAAGTGTACTAAATATTTTTAACCGCAAACTTCTCTTTCCCCTTGTGGTTTAGCCCTTTTGTACAACACTTCCTTATTGTTAAAAAATAATCACATAATTCTCACATGGTATGTGAATTAGGATTTAACGATAAATTAAAAATGCAAGTCTCCAAGGCCATGATGAAGAGTCTGAAACTTTAGAATCCCATCAATGAAAACTCTAATTTTCCTCTTCTACGTCATGGATTAAATTAACTTCAAAGCATTTATCATAAAGGATTAGTATAATTAAGGCAATCAATGTGTCGTTTCACATGTTTTTGAACCTCGTATGTCATATCATGCAAGAATACCGAGGCGCTAGCGGCAGGAACAACAGTCAAAATTGCTGTGGAATTGAGTTATGAAAGTAGACTGGTTGACGGAGATTCTAAAGCTATTATTGAGGCTGTGAGGCAGGGTAGGTCAGATTTATCAGAAGAAGGCAAGTTTGTGGACCAGATCTATTGTTATGTAAACAACTTTGCTAGTTTCTCTGCTCTATGGACTCGAAGAACTGGCAACAGTGCTGCCAAATACTTAGCTAAGTTTGCTTTAGAGGTTACAGAGTCTTGTACATAGAGAGGGGTTTGTCCAGATTTTTTGCAAGCTACCCTCCTACAATATTCCTCATCTCTGCGGTGAATAAAATTATCATCATTTCTTATCAAAAAAAAAAAAATAAATAAATATCTTGTATGTCATGTTATATTAAAATTTATTCAACTCATAATCAATTTTGACCCATTAATAATCGTATATAGTTTTGACCCTATGCCACTTTTGTGTCGGGGTCGTGGGTTGTGTAGGGAATCTACGCCCTTACAAGTGCACTAACGATTTTCAAATCCAATTGCCATTAAAAGCTTCAAATGATCATTTGCATTACATGCACATACAATTCAATCTTTTCCATCACTTTTTGTACATTTTAATGTATTTCCACCTAGACTCCATATAGTAGCTTATATCTGAAGGAGCACCATAAACCCCACATTTGAAATGAAAGTCTTCAGGCCCATGATCATGAATCTCAAACTTTTGTACACCATCGACAAAAACTCTAACCATTCCTCCATCAACGTTGTGGATTAAATTAACCCTAAAACATTTATCATAGAGGTTTGTTGCATCCACGAGTTCATAACTGCAGTGCCTCATCTCTCCATTGTAGATCCTCAAAAGCATAGTCGTATTTCCTTGTGCTGCATCATGAATCTGCACTATTGTTGCACCAGAGGTGCCGTTTGGCACCAAAGCATTGCCTTCGAATTGCCATACTCTCGAACAGTGGTCAAGCCCCTGTACTAACAATGATTAGTTTCATATAGCCCAAATTATTAACATATGTTATAGCTTTAACGTAAAGTAATTTCACTGTCCTTTACACTACATATATTTTTCACTTTGTCCCGACACATTAACAATTTTTGTCTAAAAAAATAGCTGCCGTTAGCATTTTGGGGCAAGTTGAAATAATTGAAGTAGTTGGGAGGGGGGAGTGCGTATGGAAAAAATATAATAGTTTAAGAGACAAAATAAAATTGAGCCCATGGCTCAAGGGGTTCAAGTGTAATTTTCCTTCCCAAGTAAGTTGCACTGATATTTTTTAATAGTGTCTTTCTTTGCGATATCAAACTCAAATTACAATTAAGTGGGTCATTGGGGGATCGATCTCACATGTATGACTTCAGTTTGATTAAGTCTTAACTAATTCTTTTGAATTGAGTATTGTTATTGAGATATATAAAATCAAAATTCATTTGCTAACACGACCTTGTGGTAGCTTACATAGTCTATTAGAATCATTAAATATTGGACTTCTTTATTGCTTTATACACCATTAGTTAGCAAATTAAATTAAGCTAGATATTTAAGTCTCACACATTTCTGCTTTTGAGTTATGACTAGATCTAACTGAGTCAAAACTTTTGATATAGCATCAAATTCAATATCGTGCTAAAAGTTAAGATCTAAAACAAAGCAAGTTACGACGGTTTACTTGAGATCGATCCCAAAAATTGGGTTTTATCCAACACTTTAGAATCAATCCCAACTTATTTGAGCTAAGTAATTCCATAAAAAGTTAGCCAAATCTGATCTTTTTTAGTCCTAACTTAACCCAGTTGAGTGGTAACTTTACCCCCACATGCATCAATGGTACAAAAAGGGTAAATCTAGAGGGAAGATAGGTAGTGAGTACTTGAATGCGAATTTCAGTGCGTGGTTGGGTGTTGCTACCAAGGGCAAGTAGCTTATGATCAGCATAAACCTACATCTTGTGAACTCCATTTTTGTAAGTGTACCGCTCTTGTACGTGCTTCAGTAAAAAAATTCGCTTCTGTCAACGGAATTTCAGTGAACCCATCTGTGGGATCAGCACCAGACAACAGAGAGAGATTAGGGACTAATCTCACAAGTACAATAAGATAAAGTGAATAACAGTTGAACACACACATATATACATAGTTGGTCTTGTAAGGGTGTTTTGTTTCTGTACCTAATCTACGTGAAATCATTTATCAATGTGTGGTCTTCATCATGTCTTTTTTCTATGTAGGGATCGAATATTGACTATAAAATATTGTAGCCTCTGACGACATAATGGGACTAATTCATGTTAATCAAATTATTAATTTTTCCTAAATTTGGTTTCAATTATTTGGTCTATTGTCCTACTTCAGATTCCAATCAAAAACTAATGGCCCATGACAGAGTACACATTTAGAAAATGGCATAGAGCAAGACATTTGCCGAACGAGACACTATCCATTGACTGATAATTTTTAACTTTAATTTTGAATGAGACATTTGCCGAACGAGACATGACAAGGTACACACATTTATAACTTTAATTAATTGGTCCCTAAGAACTGATAATTTTTAACATGGTCAATCAACTTTTTTTTTCTTGATCAAAACACCATCAATTGACTCGATATTATAATTTTGGATTGACTTCTAGAGAGAAAAAGAAAAGTGAAGTAATTGCATGGTTGGAGCCACCTTAATTATGCCAGCGAGCACATGCCCACTCTCAACTTTTTTCTTCTTAAAATTACCTATATATATATTTTAAGTTTTTTGTCAATACATTAAAATGGATAAATTACATTGACACTTCCTGTAAATTGGTCTAATTATAGAGACATTCTCTCAATTTTTTGAATTTACACTGACACCCCTTATCCTTTACCTACTAATTTCACAAAGTACTCATATGGTTAGCATTATTATTGACAACGTCAAAAAAGTGATTACATCATCAACTTTTTAAACTTTTTACACTTTAATACACATATTACAACTAAACAAAATTAGGTGAACTTGTTTATTTTTGTGTTGTATTCGTATTTTTTTTTTTTATAATGTGGAACCGCTTCAAGGCAGGGCCACTTTGGATCGATTACTGTGAGAGTAAATCCTGGATGTATAAAATTATCTGCAAACCATAGGTATTAGTTAAGCTCAAGAGACATCAGCGAGAGTCGAACTCCTAACGTCCGAGTGTACGGTTTGTCTTGGTTGTGACTGTGTTCATATTCGTGTTGACCAATATAAATTTTGAAAAAAAAATTTAACGCTAAGATTTAAGTCTAAGATTCTATTATCACTTAATTAAATCCATGCTTATACTTTTTCTATAAATTAAAAATTAACTTAATAAACATAGCAATAATAATGAATAAAAATATATTTTTTATACAATAATTATGTTAGTACTTAATAAAATAAAAAATAATTAATATTTTATTTTTATAATACCAGTTAAACATATTGATGATGTCAATTTCGTATTATTCGTATTAACATATAAATGAGAAGATAGAGAAAGTTCGACCCGACTAAACAAATGGGTTGATTGTGTCAATTTCGAGTTTGATGGGTTAAACCCAAAAATGACCCCTTTATTAATATTTAAATATATGAGATGATGATAAGTAAAAATGATGTATAGTAAGGGTAATTATGAAAATCCCATTTTTTGTTATATTTTAAGACCTAACAAGGAGTGTTAATGTAATTACAAAAAAATGAAGGGATATCTCGTAATTATATCAATCTGTGAAGTAATTACAAGGGCTGAGCTACCTTAATTATGACCAGGGGCAATATGCCTACCCTCAACTTTTTTCTTCTTAAAATTACCAATATATATTTTATGTATTTTTTTAAATATTTTAAATTATGGCCACCCTATTTTTAAGTAAAGACGAGAAAATGCATGATATATTCATGAGTTTACTTAGAATTTTGACATTTATTTTAGTAATTGTGACAAACATTAGAGATAACACTTCTGATTGCATAATTGAATGAATAATAAATAGTTAAGTGACAACATGATTGTGGACATAAAAAATAATAAAGTTGTTACGCAAGAATTTCAATTCAAAGTATAAAAATTCATCAGAGTCAAATTTAAATGGTTTTGATTAGCTTTTTTTTATAAAGGTTTTTTGGTATCATTTGTATCTACTATGCTTTACCAATTTTAGTCTTTTAAGTTTAATGAACTTTTAAGTATTGAATAAGATGTAATTAAATATAAATGTGTTATCAAGCTTAAATTACACTGAAAGTTTCGATTATGTAATATAAGTTAAAGTATTTGGGACAATTTGATTTTAAAGTATTTTAACTTTTATATCTAATTTCTTTTATGATCTTTCTCTTTTGGGTAAACTACATAAATAACCTCTGAACTTTAGTCTTCATTTTAAATTACACCCTAAACTTTTAATTTTTTTAATGTACCCCCTAACTATGTAAATCGTTTTAATCAGATCCTTTTGTGAGATTCTAATGTTAGATGGGGATGAAATCGTAACGTTGGCAGCTGGTGGAGGGCATTTTAGTCCATTCAAGTAATATGCATAGTTGGGTTGAAGAAAAGACGCCAAAGCTCTCTCTCAAACCGTTATTCAAGTAATATGGTGTACTAATGTGGATACCTATATCGAACCATGTTATATATGTGTCATGCTTTTATTATTTTCCTATCTTTCGTACTACTATCTTTCAACTTATGATATCAGTGCTAATTATCCGGTATGCAAAATCAACATTGCATTTCACTTATATACAAAACACTTAGTATGAAATAAAAAGCTAATTTGGACTTGAAAAAACGTCAGTTTGATTATATTATTCTCACAACTGAAATTGAGGAAAAAATTTGAGAGGGTTAGAGAGAAACTAATACAAAAAAAGACGTGATCGACATCAATGCGATCCTCCGACGAGTTGTCTCACTTATACATAAAGTTTGGTGAGTTGGTGAAAAAATTGCCCATAATTTTTCAATCACTCTTATTTTTTGGGGCAAGCTTTATTTTACCCTCTTGGGTTTTGATCTATTTGTACATTACCTCCCTCAGGTTCAAAAATAGCACTTAACCCTTTTATGGTTATTGGAGTAAAATGCACAGTTAAAATTTGCATCCATTTTAATGATGTTTATACATCATGCACCTGTTGTGCAATTTGGTATAAAAAATACATGTCAAAAAGACAAAAATTAAAACCCTCCACACCTTCTGCCTTCTCATCTGCCTCTCTCTCTCTCACACACCCACCCA